TGACCTGGAAATGGAAGGTTTTCGTTTTTGTTACCAGTATTCTGAAACACTCAGCCTACTCCAGCTGCTTACTTCTGGTATATATTATGGATATATCCTTTACCATGGCAGAGACACTTCTAAAGAGAGAAGGAAAAAAGAAGTAGCCTGACTAGAAAGAGTTAAGACTCTCAGAGACATAGATATTGAATTACATTTTGCTCAAATTTGAAATGTTTATACCATAATGGAACACTTCGCTTTTGTGTTTGTCATGGAAACTCAAAGTTCACATTAATTATACACTGTTAAAAAGCCTAATCCTTATCAAATGGAAATCACCTCTTTGTCCTAGATGAGTAGCTAGCTGACAGGTCTCACTGATGCCTGTTATAGAAAGGCTATCACACAAAGTGTGAAACAAATTACTCTTTTTCGTGGATACTTGGTCTGCTTTTCTTCTGAATTAACCCCTTTCCCCCACATCGTGGTAGTTATCATAAATGTTTCTCCTTTTTACTTTCACATATGCATTTTTTCTGTATTCTTTCATATGCTGTTCAAATTATGCAACAATTACATGATAAAATTAATTACATGTAAATTACTTTTCAAAAAATAAAAGAGAAAAAGGTTTTGTGAAAGGCTACAGAGTGCATATAATTTACCTCTGCAATTGAAATGGCTGCTTTGCTTCACTGTGGTTCCCTAGGGTAAATAACAATTTCAATATGTTTTGAAAAAAATCACGTAACTGTAGTAAGACAGCTTTCTATCCGATTTCTTGTGACTTTTCTGAGTTCTGCACATATGTTCTCGTGCAGAATTATCTGATGCTGACTTGTGCAGCAAATGCCTCAAAAATGTAGGGTTTGTTTGTAGCGCCTGAAGAACTTGAATGCACAGGCTTGTTGCTGGGCCAGTTTACATTTGCTTCTTGCTGCAGAGATCTTCTCTTTAAGATGAATGGGATTCCTCTACAGTCATTAAGGTCTAGACTGAAGAAGAGAGTTTTAATTAAAACTTAACAGTTTTAGACATAAGCCCACCTGTACCAATACGTGCTTATTTTTAGTGTAAACTAGACTTTCCCATTTAGATTAAATCAATTAAGATAGCATTTAAAATCCAATTTAAAGCAGAACAACTGTACCTTTCTCCAATAGTTTTAAAGTATTTCAACACTATTGCACTTCATCAGATTTGAATGCTCTTTCTTCTAATAAGTGTTTTGTTGTGAGAGCCCTGGCCAAGTCCCAGGGCTGCCAATCTTCGCAGTAACCAAGGGAAGAACTGTTTCCCTCTGTGATTCCCATTTTCTGACCAGCTGGTTGATAGAGAAGAAGAAGGAGTTACAGGGTTTTGATACTGGACATTGTGGTACATGCAGAAGTATTCTTACCAGGAGTAGTGTCTAGTGCAGCAGAGCTCATGAAGTATGTACCTATGTCACAACACTCCCATTATTCTCAGTGTCTCAGGGATGTTCAGACACTGTTACTCCATAAGACAGCAAGTTTTGTGTGAATGTCACAGTAATACTGAAAGCTGTTCTTTAGCTATTAACTCCTTAAAAGAGGGGTAAAAAAAGGGAATCTGGCTCCAGCTCAAGAACAGCATTCAAAACATGGCCGTTGTGGTATTACCTCTTCCTCACAAATCAGGGGTGCAGCATTGAAGATTATGTTAGAAATTGCATGGCAATCATAACAACTGTGGATTGAGGTTGAAGAAAAGATCGAAAGAGCAGTCCTCGGTGATCTCTCATTCAGAATGACAGTGTGGGACTGAGGACATTTAAAGGAATATAGATTTTATCTCTATTGATTTATGGAAAATCTAACCTTGTTAAGTGCAATTCTACCTGTAGCTCTTGCACAATTAGAAAAGAAATAAATCATTCCAGATTTTTCAGGCATTTTTGATTCTGTAGAAGCTGTAGATCTCCTGCCAATTGAAGCCACCCTCAGACACTAGAAAATGTCACCTGTCAGCATCCTACGGAGAGAGACAGTGGGCTTTGAGGATGTGTAATCTTTGCCAAATTTCACATGCTATGGTCTAGCTCCCTCCCAGCCTGCACCTTATGGTTACAAACTCATCCTGCAACTCTTAATTTATTTTATATGTTCCTCTGTATCTTCAGTGTCAACAGTGTTTATGTGTTACAGAGCAGGAGGACCTTGTAGGTTCATAGTTCATTTTTAAGGGAATACTCTAAATCTTCAAGAGTGGCCTGAGTAGCTGGCCTGTGGTCTGAATAATGATACAGTTTCACTCTTCCAGCATGTTGTGGGTGTACTTACTAGATCTATGCATTTATTTAGGGAGTGCATAAGTATTCTTTAGATAACCTTCACTATCAGTCTTCCTCACTGGAAGTAGAGCGTGTGGGAAGGTCTGACGTCTACCTGAGATGAGCCTGCAGGCCTGACATAGCCCCCTTACTTAGACCCTCTTTTGTGCAAGAGAACAATGTCAATTAATCCTCTTCATTGTCTTTAGCAGAGCATGGTGCAAGATCTTTAGTACTAAAAATGATAGACTAAAAGATTGAGTTTCAGCTGAGATTTTAAATGAGAAGAGAAATTAATGAACAAGAAAGATGTAAGAATAAGATTTCAGCCAGTAGGAGCTGCAGAGGAGGAAGGTTTTGCCCTGAACATGGCAACACTGTCCAACACGGCTAGACAGATAGGAGATTCAAAAAGGGAATAACGATGAAAAGTCAGATCCTTAGAACAATTTTGAGTAATTAATTTATCTGATTAAAAAGAAATTAATGTGCATTATTTAATTCCACTTGTAATTTTTCTGTTGTGTAATTAATAATTTATACATGCATATTTACATATACACATGTATAAATATTTACACAGACACATGTGCATATATATATATATATACACATATGCACCTTTATATTATAAAATATAAGGCCACAGTTAATTCTGTGCCAGCTAATAAATAGCTTGTAATCTAAATCAGAAAAAATTGTAAGTAGACACAGGAAAAATTCTTTGCTTTGATGGTCTATTAACTTTCCTTTAGCTGGCTTGTTGAAATGTGGCTTAAAGCCCTTGGTAGTGATTGTAACCACATACAGTGACACCCTTTGTGTCAGTGTTGGTGAAGACAAAGGTGATCAGCTGTATCCTACCTGGAACGTAATTTTCCATTAATATATAGGGGTTTGGTGTTGAAAACTTTATTGGCAATGTAAATGCTGTCATTATTTTTACGAGAGATTCAGCATTTGTGCTGTTTGTGGCAAGACACATGTTGACCACACAAGATCACTGGAAAGGAGAAAGGGTTTCTCAGGAAGGAATTTATTTCAAAGTCTACTTTTTCTGTTTAAGCTTAGCATGTCTATTCCTTAACATTCTCAAATTGTCTTATGTTCACAACCTGGGAAATTACTCACAGTTAAGTTGGTTTTATAGTAATCACCTGTAAGTTATTGGAAACATCTGTTTCAACAGAACTAGTTTTCCTGTATTCTCTGGACCAAGGTATTATTATTGAGTTTGAAACAATCTGCAGTTATAACCACTTCCAAATAGGGAATTGCATATGAAAATCAAACAACTAATTTTAAACTACCTGAAAGCATTTATACTGTGAGCAGAGTGCAGGCCCTGTATCTTCTGCTGTAAGTTATTGGAAACATCTGTTTCAACAGAACTAGTTTTCCTGTATTCTCTGGACCAAGGTATTATTATTGAGTTTGAAACAATCTGCAGTTATAACCACTTCCAAATAGGGAATTGCATATGAAAATCAAACAACTAATTTTAAACTACCTGAAAGCATTTATACTGTGAGCAGAGTGCAGGCCCTGTATCTTCTGCTCTGCTTAACACTTGCATTTGTATTGTTCTGCTAAACTACCTGAAAGCATTTATACTGTGAGCAGAGTGCAGGCCCTGTATCTTCTGCTCTGCTTAACACTTGCATTTGTATTATTGAGTATGTTCTGCTACATTAGTTTAGGAAATAGTTTTCAATTTGAATACATATTTTTAAGTGTTACATTTTTAAGTATCAGCAGCCATGATAAGTTAAGTGTCCTGAGGTTTCTTTAATTTTGTGTGCATTGTGTTGTATGGCAAAGTTTATCTTCAGTTTATGACTTATTTGCCACTGATTTTACAGAACAGATTGTTAGAACCTAACATTGATAGAGGTATTTGACTGTGGGTTTTGCTGTTTTGAGGTGCTGATTTTAAGCTGTATGGCTGTGTTTTGGTGAAATCAAGAAATACTTCCTTTTGTTTTGATGGCCTAACTCTCTTATCACCTGTGTCTTCCTTCAAACTGTAGTTATATTGCGTAGTGTGAAATTGGAAAATCTGTTCTGTGTGTGTTCTAATGGATGTGACGGTCATTAAGTATATGAGTCTTCTGACGTTGTAATCAGATGTGATTCAGTCTGTTAAATATCCATGAAGCAACATCTGCTTCACAGAGTGACCTTCTGCTAAAGAATACTTAGCATCTATTAGCAGATCATAGTGCAGATCTGCCTTATTTGAAATGCACTAAACTAGAGTAGTCTACTGCTGTTTAGCAACTAGCTTGTAATAATTTATTGCAGTTAAATAAAGCTTAAAAAACTCCATTAAATAATTATAGGGATTATATGCATTTTGAAAACCTTTGTGTTCTACTGAAATTACCCATTTAATTTCAGGGTTGGTTTGTTAAAAAAAGCTGAAGTCTAAAGGCACATTAGGGGATCTGTCAGATGCTATTTTCTGTAGGTGTTAATAAAACCAGATTTAAAAAAAAAACCTGAAACAAATTAAAACAAAAAGCAATTTTACCATCTGTTGTATATTAATTAGAACTTGGTGTATCAAGGGTAAACGTGCTCTTAGAGAACGTCACTGAATGTCTGCTAATAGAGTAATATGCAAATATATTAGATGATAGGATTATATTGAATTTGTCATACTGCTTTGGTTGTAGCAAATCTAAGATGTTGTATTACAAACTTTAATTTTCTTTCTTCTTAGAGCAACCTCCAAGTAACCAAGGCCAGTCGACCCTGCAGCCTTTGCCACCTTCTCACAAGCAACATTCAGCACAGCATCACCCATCCATCACCTCACTTAACAGAAACTCACTGACAAATAGGAGGAATCAGAGTCCGGCCCCGCCGGCTGCTTTGCCCGCCGAGCTGCAAACCACACCTGAGTCAGTCCAGCTGCAGGACAGCTGGGTCCTTGGCAGTAATGCACCACTGGAAAGCAGGTAATTACTTAGGTACTACTACAGACTGTGGCACTTCTAAAGAAAACAGTTAACTGTTAAAGATGACCAGCAGCTGGTACATCACCTCATCCAGCAAACAAACCTGAAGACTTTTCAGTACTAAAAAGTGTGTCCTCTCTCTAAAATTCACAGTGACACTTTTCTCCCTTGAAAAGCATGTTTCAGAGTAATTGCACTCAGTATAATAATTTTTCCAGACAAGCATTTTCCTTCCTGTTCATAAGCTGTAGGCTTTTGACTGTGGGAAGGTATTTCTTGCCTTGCATGCCAGATATGTTATGTGTCAAATATATACTGTCTTACAGATCAAGTATCAAGAAACTTTCAGTAATACTTTTTAGCTCTTGTACTTGGTACCCTTAAAGAAATACTTGTGTGAGGCTTGGTGTTCTCTTAAAGGTGTGTAGGATTTGGTGGGTCAAAAGAACTCAGTTTTGGTGTAATGATAAATTAGTCCTCATTCCTGATAACTGGCTGTAGGAAAGAAGCAGCTAATATGAAGGGTGACACTAGCTTCTGTAGATGCAGAATGATGTATGATGGAGAATGGTCTGTTATAAGGCTTACTGGCACAGATCTGAATTTACCTACAGTGATTAATTAGTACTCATGTAACACTCAGTCAGCACTAATTTTTTATTAACGAAAGTCATAATATTCCAATTTAGTCATCAAACTGAGCATTTATTACTATATTGAAGTTGACAGTAATTCTTGAAAATGTTTATGAAATCCCTACAGTTCATTCTCTGAATTCCTTTAAGTTATGTTTTATAGCAAAGTAAAGATGATTTTTGCTAATTTAAAATATACATGATCTGAAGATTCTCTATTAGGTAGTTTTGTCCCCATAGATATTTCAGACAACTCGTGTCAGGCTCTTGGGAATGGCTGTTCCTTTTCTTAGTTTTCTTGGACCCTTCTGTATTGCTTATGAGAAGGTGCTGTGGAGGTGCTGTGGAATAGCATTGCACTGAAGGGATTTCATCATCATACTCAGACAATTTAGTGCATTAAGGAGCAATTTTCTTGTAGAACAAATAAGTTTCTAGTGGGAGTAAGGTGCTTGATGTTTTCCAGATACTAGTTAATTGTAAGTACATGGGTAAGGTCTTTGATGTTTGTTTCTATTGCCATATATGTTTTTATTGTGTTCATAAGGACATAGGACTTGAATGGGAATGCCTCTTCCAGCCTGGAGTAAATATTTTTTGCCAAGTAAAGTCTTTTAATCATTTAAATGTTCCTCATGAAAAGCTAAGGGTATTTGAGCATTCAAATTCTGAACACTTGTGAATGAGCTGAAATGTGAAAATATCACATAAAAAAATGACAGAGCCCTACTGTAGTTTTTTTAATAGTCTCACTTGGTTGGAACTCTGAAGGCGAGGAACCCATCTTATTTGACATTGATTTTTTTCCCTTTTTGGTTAAGATTCCCTACCGAGTGTTATTTTTAGGCTCAGTTTCAACTATATTAACAACTTTGTGATAGGTGTCTTTCTCAGCCTAAAAGAAAGTTTATTTCCTCTTTGGCAATATTTTAGCTTATGCTCATAGTCAGCTATTTTTTTAATCTGACATAGATGACAGACATTTAGAGGTACAGAAGGTGAATGTCAGCATATACACAGATATCTTTCTAGCTCTACAGGTGCATACTGGTGATGGGTGGCATGGAAATTGCAGACAACTTGCTGATGTGTATAGATGGGTAGAGAATAGGCTGAGTTTGTGTATGTGCATGTAGATGAGAGGGATGTATTTGCAAAGCCTGAGGGAGGTTTTAGTCCCTACCGTTCTGCAGTACTAATGTAAGTGACATTGAAATACTTATTTTGTAATATTAGATTCAGTTGTGTATTTAATAGAAGAGAATGCAGTTTGGCTCTGTGTAAAGTATTATTAAGAGTTAATAGCTTTGTGTAACACATTGCTGTTACTGGTTAAATGAATGAACTGTGAGGTAACAGATAATGATGTCCAACAGAAATTCCAGTTTATGTTTTTTTTAAATATAAAAAGACTTATGCTTGAAATTCTATGAGGCCCTGAAACTGTAACTTGGATTATGTGAGCACTTCTCTCATCTTTGATGCCATGTTTAAATGACAGTGAGGTTACTGAGCAGTGGCAGAAATTGTCTTCCCTCTGTTGGGGCTCAGTAAAATCTACATTAAAGAAAAAAGCAAGACAGTAAGATCTTTTCGTTGGATATTTAACTGTCTTTACTTTTTTACTGTAGAAGCAATAGATCTGCTGTAGAATCCTGCACTAGAGAACAGTAGAAACTTTTGAAGAAACCGAAAAACAGGACTATATTGAATAACTTTCCATTTTGTTCTTTGAAGTACTGGCTGGACAGCCAAAATCATGCAAATATATGACTACATGTCATGTGTCTGAATATGATAAATGATGATTTAGTAATTAAATATTAGTAGGGGTTTTTGTTATCAATTATCTATAAGTTTTTATTCACCAACTAGTTTTAGTTGTGATTTTGTGAGCACCAAGATTATTAGTTACATTCTCTTGGCTTTGCATGCTAGTAGGGGATTATTGATTTTTAAAAATACTTCATAAATCACTTATTTAAATGCTTTCTCAGTTAAATATTTGAGTGGGCAGAATTTTTCTAATGCACAGTCTATTATGAATGTTAGAGATTCTCAAAGGCAAAGTATGTTTGAATTCATAAATTTGTCAATAAAAATAAGACAGTAGCATCGCTTACTGCATTTCTTGGGAAATACTTCTTTCATTTTAGGCATTGAATTCCTAAGATCAGTTTCTTGGCAAGAGGAAATTTACACATTCCAGTCAAAGAATAAATTTCAGAATATTATACAAGTTTATTCAGAATCTGTGATAACATGTCAGCAAATCAAAGAAGAGCTTTGCTTTTTCTTGATTTGCTATATAAAATACTTCATTTTTTGAGGCTGCATTTTGTATGATGGACTGTGAATTTTTCATAGAAACTAGCCAAGAAACTAACATGTTTTTCATAGTATAAACTGATGCTGCTTAGTCTTTTACCAGTAACTTAGACTTATAAGTAGAGTGTGTAGGAACATTACTGTATTCAGTTACTTATCTACTAATTTGACCGAGAAAAAAGAAGGAATTGGTTGAAGAAATACTTCATGACTGGAAAATGTTTCAGCATTTTGAAGGATTTAATTAAAGTTCTAGAATACATCAGAAATGGTACAGACAAAACAATTCCTGGAATGTGTTACTTCAAAACTGTTCTGCAGGCTTGGTTCAAACTTCATTTTAGAATGTGAAGATTTTAGAAGCTCCTCAAGTGTGATGAACATACCCATATGTCTTTATTGGGGTAGATTGCCAATTAAGCTAGTGCCTTCAATATTGATTAAGGTGTGGAGAGGGTGTTGGTAGTTTCCAGGGAAGTTTTAAATCAATTTATGTAGAGGCTGATTGATTGTCCGCGAAAGCGCAGCCTTGCTGGAGGTTAAAGTGTGCTCAAAGCAGCTATTTTACGCATTCCACCCACTAAAATGCTGCCTGCTTTAATCAAATTCAAAATTGTTCTCTTCTGTAAGTCTTCCAGGTTTTCACACATGGCCTTGATTAGACATGTTACATCTATTGAGAAGGTGCATGGTACAAAATAAAGGCAGAAACTGGGGATGGAGTTTAAGTCCTGCTCTTGTGAAGACTTTATCACTGTGGGCATGTCATGTTGCTGGTCTGCAGGTTGAGGAAACAGGACTCTGCTTAGATTGCTTACAGCATGAATGCATTTTTAAAGATTGACATTATGGGATGATGTATATACACGTTAGACATGTTCATTAAGTCAAAAAAAACCAATACTGTTTTCAAAGACTGAAGTCAAATAAAAAAGTTTCATTTGACATTCCCTTACAGTCAGGTTCCCACCAAGCATCTGTTTGAATCCTAAAACACTCGGCCCATATGCTTATAAGCTTCCTTTGGTGTCAATAGTGTCTTACTTTAGATTTTTGCTTGATCTCTCTGGCATCTTTCCTGCTCAAATATCCCTTGCTGTCACCATGAGTGCTTGGAATTTGATCATGCTGTGTATTTTGTCCCCTGCTCTTAGGCAGGCACTGATAGTCCAGAATTCAGTAGCATTTGCACAGTATTCATTAAGTTTATCATTCCCGTCTTCAGACATATGCAGCTGTTGAAGTAAGAATGGACCCAAATATTTTTTCCAATACGAATCATTCCCTGTTTCAGATAGGACTAAAGGAATATGCAGTTCTAAACAAAATAACAGTGCCTAACTTGGTTGCGACCCCTTCATTTTCTCACCATTCCCTGATAGTCAGAGTTTGTGGTCCTCCTTTCCCTCCCCTGTTACTGTGCATGTTGTCTGCAGAACATGAGATCTCCACTCACTCTGGTAGCCAGCCCTCTGCATGTTGGCTGGCTGGCTGGCTGTGCCAGATAGCCAGCAAAAGCCTGTCTTTAATCGTCTCAATTCACTTTTATTACTTCATCTGTGGTCCAGCCTCATCAAGTAAACAACATCCCCCACTATGCACTGTTCAGTCCTTAAGCCTGTCTTGCCACAGGCAGCAGCCAGGAATTTTATTCAAGGGCTTGCAAAAAAATAAGGGATCACCAAAGGGTAATGACCACCTAATGGTAGTCTTATAACACTGTGTCTTCAGGTTGCTATCCAGCCTGTAGTTCAGAGGACAGCATGGATGGCAGATAAATCCCACATTCAGTTTTGCACATCCGTGGAAAATGAAAGTTAAGCAACAGAATTAGTAAATTCTTTTTTGTGGGATCATCCCATTCTTTAATTTGAAACTGCACCTCTAATTACATCTTTTTGTATCTTTGTGTGTAGAGAATTAGGAAATCAAGCAGTCCTTGCAAATGGTCATGACAACCTTATAGAGATGGATGTGTTTTCTCCAACATATCACGATAGCAGTTATGGGTATGTGACTCTAAGTGTTTGCATGATG